GGACTGCAGCAGCAGAAGCTTGAGGAGAAGGAGAACAAGGAGGACAGCTTGAAGGAGAGATCAGAGTCCTACAATCTGGAGGATCCGATCGTGAAGAAACGCAAGTCGAAGGCCCGCAGGAGGCGCGCGACGTCCACCTTGGGAAGTTCGACTGGCACGCAGCACTACAGGAAGAAGAAGGATCATAACAATAATCGTAAGAACAATGAAACTAATAATAAGACAGCTAATAAGAAGAAAACGACTGAGCATAATAAGAATTATCCTGGCGAAGGGCCCAACCATATGCAATTGCAGGTGCCGCAACCCAGGTTAGACAAATGAGAGGGAGCTCCCTGTGGGGCCACGAAATGTGTGAGGAGTGTGCCTGAATGGGTGCGGCGGGCGCATGCGAACGCAGCCACGGAGGCCTTCGGTGGAGCTGCCAGTGGGGCCACGACACGTGTGAAGGGGTGCCGAAATGAGTGCGGCGGGCGCACGCGAACCCAGCCACTGGGGCCTTCGGCGGAGCTCCCTGTGGGGCCACGAAACATGTGAGGGGTGTGCCGAAATGGGTGCGGCGGGCGCATGCGAACGCAGCCACGGGGGCCTTCGGTGGAGCTCCCTGTGGGGCCACGAAGCGTGTGAGGGATGTGCCGAAATGGGTGCGGCGGGCGCATGCGAACGCAGCCGCTGGGGCCTTCGGTGGAGCTCCCTGTGGGGCCACGAAACATGTGAGGGGTGTGCCGAAATGGTGCGGCGGGCGCATGCGAACGCAGCCGCTGGGGCCTTCGGCGGACCTCCCTGTGGGGCCACGAAACATGTGAGAGATGCCGAAATGGGTGCGGCGGGCGCATGCGAACACAGCCACTGGGGCCTTCGGTGGAGCTCCCTGTGGGGCCACGAAACAGTTGAGTGGTGCGCCGAAATGGGTGCGGCGGGCGCATGCGAACGCAGCCACTGGGGCCTTCGGTGGAGCTCCCTGTGGGGCCATGAAACGTGTGAGGGTGTGCCGAAATGGGTGCGGCGGGCGCCTGCGAACGCAGCCACGGGGGCCTTCGGTGGAGCTCCCTATGGGGGCACGAAGCGTGTGAGGGGTGTGCCTGAGTGGGTGCGACGGGCGCATGCGAACGCAGCCACGGGGGCCTTCGGTGGAGCTGCCTGTGGGGCCACGAGACGTGTGAGGGGTGTGCCGAAATGGGTGCGGCGGGCGGAGGAGGGAGGGGGCAGCGGGAGGAGGAGGAGGAGTGGGAACGCGGGGCGCTGTCTCTTCAAAACGAGGACCCAACACCACAGGATGGTTGGGAAAAAGGAAAATACACAGGATAAGCGCAGCAAACAGGATAAGCAGGAGAAGTGTGCGAGGGCGCGATCGTTGACGAGGTCGCTAACGCCTCGCCCGAAGCAGGAGGTGAAGGGCGCGCGGAGGCCGTCCAGGTTTCCGACCGCGCCTTGGGCCCGGGGCTGAGAGGAGGAGATGAGGTCGCAGCGGAGACGGCCAGCAAGGAAAACAGCAGCAACCCATGGAGATGGTCATCAGCCTGCTCTTCGTTTCTACATCGGCTCGGAGTCCGAGGTCGAGGAGGGCTTCCAGAAGAACGTACAACTAATAACAATTATCCTGGCGAAGGGCCCAACCATATGCAATTGCAGGTGCCGCAAACCAGGTTAGACAAATGAGAGGGAGCTCCCTGTGGAGCCACCAAATGTGTGAGGGGTGTGCCTGAATTGGTGCGGCGGGCGCATGCGAACGCAGCCACTGGGGCCTTCGGTGGGGCCTGTGGGGCCACGAAACGTGTGAGGGATGTGCCGAAATGGGTGCAGCGGGCACATGCGAACGCAGCCGCTGGGGCCTTCGGTGGAGCTCCCTGTGGGGCCACGAAACGCGTGAGGGGTGTGCCGAAATGGGTGCGGTGGGCGCATGCGAACGCAGCCACTGGGGCCTTCGGTGGAGCTCCCTGTGGGGCCACGAAACGTGTGAGGGGTGTGCCGAATGGGTGCGGCGGGCGCATGCGAACGCAGTGGGCCTTCTCCCTGTGGGGCCACGAAACGTGTGAGGGGTGTGCCGAAATGGGTGCGGCGGGCGCATGCGAACGCAGCCACTGGGGCCTTCGGTGGAGCTCCCTGGGGCCACGAAACGTGTGAGGGGTGTGCCGAAATGGGTGCGGCGGGCGCATGCGAACGCAGCCACTGGGGCCTTCGGTGGAGCTCCCTGTGGGGCCACGAAACATGTGAGGGGTGTGCCGAAATGGGTGCGGCGGGCGCAAGCGAACGCAGCCACGGGGGCCTTCGGTGGAGCTCCCTGTGGGGCCACGAAACGTGTGAGGGTTGTGCCTGAATGGGTGCGGCGGGCGCATGCGAACGCAGCCACTGGGGCCTTCGGTGGAGCTCCCTAGGGGGCCACGAAACGTGTGAGGGGTGTGCCTGAATGAGTGCGGCGGGCGCATGCGACCGCAGCCACGGGGGCCTTCGGTGGAGCTGCCTGTGGGGCCACGGAACATGTGAGGGGTGTGCCGAAATGAGTGCGGCGGGCGCATGCGAACCCAGCCACTGGGGCCTTCGGCGGACCTCCCTGTGGGGCCACGAAACGCGTGGGGGGCGTGCCGAAATGGGTGCGGCGGGCGCCTGCGAACGCAGCCGCTGGGGCCTTCGGTGGAGCTCCCTGTGGGGCCACGAAACATGTGAGGGGTGCGCCAGAATGGGTGCGGCGGGCGCATGCGAACACAGCCATTGGGGCCTTCGGTGGAGCTCCCTGTGGGGCCACGAAACGTGTGAGGGGTGTGTCGAAATGGGTGCGGCGGGCGCAAGCGAACGCAGCCACGGGGGCCTTCGGTGGAGCTCCCTATGGGGCCACGAAGCGTGTGAGGGGTGTGCCGAAATGGGTGCGGCGGGCGCATGCGAACGCAGCCACGGGGGCCTTCGGTGGAGCTCCCTGTGGGGCCACGAAGCGTGTGAGGGGTGTGCCGAAATGGGTGCGGCGGGCGCATGCGAACGCATTGGGGCCTTCGGTGGAGCTCCCCGTGGGGCCACGAAACGTGTGAGGGGTGTGCCGAAATGGGTGCGGCGGGCGGAGGAGGGATGGGGCAGCGGGAGGAGGAGGAGTGGGAACGCGGGGCGCTGTCTCTTCAAAACGAGGACCCAACACCACAGGATGGTTGGGAATAATAAGAACCCGCTTATTGGCAAGGAGAAGGAGGAGGGGGGGCGAGCTGCAGGCAGCGGTGCCGCCCTTCCTGAAGCTCACTAGTGCTGACGGCGCGGAGGACGTGGGCAACGACCTGATCGGCCGGCTCCTCGACTTGGCCGGGCAGCTGCACGAGGAGGGCCTCATGGACCTCGCAAGCCTCGACGGCCTCGCGAGCGTCCTAGATAAGGTCGAGAGTGTGGATCGGACTTCGGTCCCATCTGACGCCTCCCAGGCTCGAGCGCCTCGGGGGGGGAGCCATCGGGGCAGGGTTCCATCCAGGGTCCTCCTGGTCGTCCCCCTCGGGGCCCGGGGCTGGGTTCGGCTTGGGGCGGCCCCCCTGGCCGCCGCGACCCTGGTGGGCCGCCACCCCGACTGGAACATGGGGGATTGCCTCCGCCCCTGGGGTCGGGGTCGCGGCACGGGAGCGCCCGTGGCTTCGCGTCGTGGCGGCGCGAGCGGATCTCTGCGGAGAGCGGGTGGGCTTCGGCCCTCCCGATGTCGTCAACTCGTCAGCTCTCACCACCTGCTCCTCCCCCTCTGCTGATCCTCTTCCTTCCCTTTCTCCCTGCCTTCTCCGCGCTCTCTCATCTCGATCTGTCCCTACTCGCTTCTCCTACTCTTGTTCCTCGTCTGCGTCCTCCTGCTCCTTGTCCTCGTCGCCCTCCTCCCCCTTCTCCCTCCCCCTGCCCCCTCCCCCTCTTTCCTCCTCATCCTGACCTCTCCCCCCGTTTCCTCATCCTTCTCTTTCTTCCTCTTCCTACTCGTCCTTCTTCTTCCTCTTCCTCTTCCTCGTCCTCGTCCTCGTCGTCGTCGTCGTCGTCGTCGTCGTCCTCCTCCTCCTCCTCCTCCTCCTCCTCCCACTCACCCCCCTCTCTCATCCCCCCCCACCGGACCTGACAAGATGTGCCACTGAGTCCATCAACTCAACCAATGGCCAGACACCGCTCGCGTCAGTGCCATTCTGCTGTTTGGCCACTTTGTTCCGTCGGGCCGCCGCGCCCTCCAGGGTGGTGACACCAAGAAGCTGGGCCCACTAACGGGGCTAAGGGCCCCCCGAACCATATCATCTGAAATCCTCCACTGGACCTCCTCCTCCTCCTCCTCCTCCTCCCCTCCTCCCTCCCCTTTTCCCTCCTCCCTTACGTGCTCTCCGCTTGCTCCTCCCTCCCCCCCTCCTCCTTCTCCTCCTCCTCCTCCTCCTCTTCCTCCTCCCCCTCCTCCCCCTCCCTCCCCCTCTTCCCCTCCCCCTCCTCCTCCTCCTCCTCCTCCTCCTCCTCCTCCTCCTCCTCTCCTCCTCCTCCTCCTCCTCCTCCTCCCCCTCCTCCCCCTCTCCCCTCCCCTCCTCCTCCTCCTCCTCCTCCTCCTCCTCCTCCTCCTACTCCTCCTCCCTTCCTCCTCCAAATCGATGGATCTCTCACCAACACCACTTCGTCACCCTCCGCTTCCTTCTCCCCTCCATCTCGTCGTCCTCCTCCTCCTCCTCCTCCTCCTCCTCCTCCTCCTCCTCCTCCTCCTCCTCCTCCCCCCTCGGAGAGTAGGAGCATGGATGATGAGAGGGCGGGAACACAGACATGCGATGCCACATTTCTTTCAATTCGCGGTCCCCAAAGTCCCAGGGCCGGTTCTTCATCCTGGACAATTGCTTGAGACGGTTCTCGGGTCTGGAAAGTGCCCCGGGAACCGAAGACGGCCACAGACCTCCCGTCGTGTACGTTCACGGCGCGAGCAGACCTGGGAAAGTGGAAGAAGCGGAGAAGACGGGAGACCGAGGACTCGTGAACGCGGATTCAGGAGAAGGCAGGAGGCCCCGTGGGGGCTGCGAGCGGGGCATCGCCTCGGTGACCTCCTCGCACACCTGCGGGCGCGGGAGGGGAGGAGGGAGGGCGGGCGGGAGGGATGACGGGTAAATGTGAGCCAGGAGGTGGGGGAGGGGGGAAGGAGTCATGAACATGACATTGATATTGATGTTGATGTTGAGGACGATGATGAAGATGAAACTGAAGCTGAAGCTAAACATGAAGCTGAATATGATGATGACGACGACAATGCTGATGATACTGATGATACTGATGTTGAGGTTGAGGTTGATGACGAGGACGATCATGATGATGCTGAGGATGCTGCTGATGATGATGAGGATGATGATGATTATGATGATGATGGTGTTGATGATTAACCCCCAGCTCCCGATAACGACCCCATGGGGATGATAAAACTCGGGGTCCAGGGAACAAACAACACGTTTTCCCGGAGATCTCAGCATAATGATGAAGATGATGACGATGATGATGATCAAGATGATCCTAAACGTCCATGAGAATAATCCATCGGATCCCCTAAGATGGTCTTAAGGATTTCTTAGGACATCCATCGGATCCCCTAAGAAATCCTTAGGATTATTGAGGACATCCATGGGATTCCCTAAGGAGTCAATCGATTGCAGTAGGACGTGCTCAGGAATCCTTAGAGAATCCATAGAAGGACGAGGAGAAGGAATCCAAGTACCAGCTTTCCAAAAAAAACATCGATTCGGGACCAAGTTTCTGTATGTGTAAATCTCAATTATTCTTAATCATGTTCAATGGTGCATGTGTAGGAGCCCGCGGCGGCTCACTGGCGGGGCTAAAAAAAACAACGGGGATAAAAGAGTTCGGGCTGGGCGCGCACGGAGGAGGAAGAGGATTCCTTAGGACATCTAGGAAAAAACTTTGTTACCTAACAGCTTTTGCTGATAGGTTTCTAGTGGGATCAAAAGAAAACATCTTGACGCCCCAGGGGGTTCTGGGCGGCATCCGGACAAGGAACTGGACAAAAGGGTCAGCCCCAGGAATCCTTAGGAATCCTTAGGAATTCTTAGGAATCCATTCCCAGAACACCATTCCCAGGCCACATGTTGAATGCCCGGAGCCAACTGTAGGCCACTTCGTGTTCTTCGTGTTCCCAGAACACCATTCCCAGGCCACATGTTGAATGCCCGGAGCCAACTGTAGGCCAATTCGTGTTCTTCGTCTTCCCAGAACACCATTCCCAGGCCACATGTTGAATGCCCGGAGCCAACTGTAGGCCAATTCGTGTTCTTCGTCTTCCCAGAACACCATTCCCAGGCCACATGTTGAATGCCCGGAGCCAACTGTAGGCCACTTCGTGTTCTTCGTCTTCCCCAAACACCACTCCTGTACCATATATTGATTGCCCGGAGCCAACTGTGGGTCACTTCGTGTTCTTCGTCTTCCCAGAACAGCACTCCCAGGCCACATGTTGAATGCCCGGAGACAACTGTAGGCCACTTCGTGTTCTTCGTGTTCCCAGAACAAAATTATTGTACCATACTTTGATTGCCCGGAGCCAACTGTAAGCCACTTCGTGTTCTTCGTGTTCCCAGAGCACCATTCCTGTGCGATATTTTGATTGCCCGGAGCCAACTGTGGGCCACTTCGTGATCTTCGTGTTCCCAGAACGCCAGTCCTGTGCCATATTTTGAATGCCCGAGCTGAGGCAGGCTGAGGCCGAGGCAGGCTGAGGCCGAGGCAGGCTGAGGCTGAGGCTGAGGCAAGCCGAGGCAGGCTGAGGCTGAGGTTGAGGCAGGCTGAGGCTGAGGCAGGCTGAGGCTGAGGCTGACGCAGGCTGAGGCCGAGGCAGGGTGAGGCTGAGGCAGGCTGAGGCCGAGGCAGGCTGAGACTGAGGCTGAGGCAGGCTGAGGCTGAGGCTGAGGCTGATGCAGGCCGAGGCTGAGAGGCTGCCGCTGAGGCAGGCTGAGGCTGAGGCTGAGGCCGAGGCAGGCTGAGGCTGAGGCTGAGGCAAGCCGAGGCAGGCTGAGGCTGAGGCTGAAGCTGAGGCAGGCTGAGGCTGAGGCTGTGGCTGAGGCTGAGGCAAGCTGCGGCTGAGGCAGGCTGAGGCTGAGGCTGATGCAGGCTGAGGCTGAGGCAGGCTGAGGCTGAGGCAGGCTGAGGCAGGCTGAGGCCGAGGAGGCTGAGGCTGAGGCTGAGGCTGAGGCCGAGGCAGGCTGAGGCTGAGGCTGAGGCAGGCTGAGGCTGAGGCTGAGGCTGAGGCTGAGGCTGAGGCAGGCTGAGGCTGAGGCTGAGGCTGAGGCTGAGGCCGAGGCAGGCTGAGGCTGAGGCAGGCTGAGGCTGAGGCTGAGGCTGAGGCTGAGGCTGAGGAGGCTGAGGCCGAGGCAGGCCGAAGGCTGACTGAGGCTGAGGCTGAGGATGAGGCCGAGGCAGAAGCTGAGACAAGGTGAGGCTGGGGGGGGAAGGGGGGGGGGGAGGGGAGGCTGAGGCAGGCTGAGGCCGAGGCAGGCTGAGGCCGAGGCAGGCTGAGGCTGAGGCTGAGGCAAGCCGAGGCAGGCTGAGGCTGAGGCTGAAACTGAGGCAGGTTGAGGCATCCGTAGGAATCCATAGGAATCCTTAGGAATCCCTAGGAATCCTTAGGAATCCGTAGGCATCCTTAGGAATCCGTAGGCATAGTTAAGCATCTTCAGGAATCCTTAGGAATCCTTAGGATTCCCTAGGAATCCTTAGGAATCCCTAGGAATCCCCAGGAATCAGGAATCCTAAGGATTCCTAAGGTTTCCTAAGGATTCCTGTGGATTCCTAAGGATGCCTAAGGATGCCTTAGGAATCCATAGGAATCCTTAGGATTATCCTAAGGCCGTTGCCACTGCGACTGCCATTGCGAATGCGACTGCGACTGCGAGAACAGCAGAACTTTACAACTGGATTCTCACCTGAATCGTAAGGGGAATGCTTCCAGATATGCTTATACACATCGCTGTTAGGTTGCTTTGCCGGGATAATTTTATTATGCGAAAGCTGGTTATAGGGTTCATAAGGGAATCCATGGAATTTCTATCGGAGTCGATGGGATTCCTAGGAAATCCATGGGATTCCTCAGGGAAATCCATACGAGATTCATAGGACTCCTGCCGACATCCATAGGACTCCTTCGGAAATCCATCGGAATCCATAGGAAATCCATCGGAATCCCTAGGTCACCCATCGGATTCCTGAGGAAATAAATCGGAATCCTTAGGAGTCCTTGCTACTCAACATAAGAAGAGAGCAACTTCGATTCGCAACTTTCCCACGCGATAACTAAGTTCGGTTTTGCCGCCTCTCTTCCCTGACCAAAGCTGTATCGGCAGTGGATAATCGACACTCAGTACTTAAGGGGGAGGTAATTGATTATCGGGAGGTTGGGGTCAGGATGATGAGGATGATGATGATGCTGCTGCTGCTGATTGATGATGATGATGATGATGATGATGATGATGATGATGATGATGATGATGATGATGATGATGATGATGATCATGATGCTGATGACGATGATGATGGCGACGCCGATGCTGATGAAGAACATGAAGCTGAAATGACGCTGAAGATGAAGCTGATGATTTGGATGTTCATGTTTATGATGATGATCATGCTTATGCTTATGCTTATGATGATGCTGTTGGTGTTGGTGTTGGTGATGTTGGTGATGATGATGATGATGATGACGACGATGATGATGCTATTGCTGCTGCTGCTGGTGATGATGATGATGAGGAGGAGGCGTAAGAGGATGATGATGCTGATGATGGCGAGTAAGAGCAGGATGATGAAGAAGAACATGAAGACACGGCTTGGGACCGAGCGGCGGGGAGCCCTGCCGAGGCCTCCGTGAATTGCCACCACTGGAGCCCGCCAAGGCCCAAGGAGCGGGGGGAGAAGATCAGAGGAGCGCCGACTGAGACAGCGGCGGCCCTCCCGCCCGGCCCAGATCCGCTCAGCGTACGCCCCCCGACCAGAGGAGGCACCACCTTGCCCTCCGGCGATGCCCAGGCACGCTCAGGAACGGACTGCACGCGTCGGCACTGGGCGCGGTGGTCAAACTCCGCCCCCTGACCAAAGGAGGCACCGCCGGCAAGGCCAAAGCACGCTCAGGAACTGACTTGCACGCCTCCGCAGCGGGCGCGGTGACGCCCCCCCCCACAGGGAGGGATGCTCCGGGTCAGGCTTCCGACAGCCGGCCGACCTGCCCGGAGGCGGGGGGCAGCCGCAAAAATGTGCAATCATCGCGCAAATTACTATCAGGAACGCCACGCACGAGGGAACCGAGGGGCTTTTTGCTGGCCAATGCGAGCCTCGGCCACGAGTAGGTTCCTCGAAAAATCACAGCCCCTCGTGGGCTCATAGTGGTTCTTGCTTCCGCGTCTCAGATGTAACGCCTCGAGGAGGTCATCCGATCAGGAAGCCTGGAGGCGTGAGCAGTGGCAGTTGTTCTGCGCTCGCGGCGCACTGCGTAAAAGAGGTTCAAAAAGAGGGGAGGAGGGATAACAAACTGATGAGGAGAAGGAGCAATGATGAGGAGGAAGAGGAGGAGGAGGAGGAGGAGGAGGAAGAGGAGGAAGAGGGCCGCAAAGCCCAAAGCAGCATCAAGAGACAAAGAAGAGAGGATATCGCCGCTGCGCTGCTCCGCCATGAATATTCATATCCCCCTGGCGGCCAGCCAGGCAGCCGTCGAGCGCGACACTTGCAACGCTGCCCAACGTAGATAATCGAAGATGCTGAGCGGTCCGAAAAAATGCAGACCACAGCCGAGGCAGCTGCCCCCGTGGCGGAGCCAGGAGGCCGATCCTCGGACAGGCGATTGTGGAGAATCTGCACAGCACTGAGAGCATCCACGTCGAGCCAGGAATTGTCGCTCTTCGGGTGGTTGCCGGTACAGATGCGGTTGCAATAATATCTCGACGAGCCAAGGCAAAACGGCTTCTCATTGCATCGGCGATTGTACCGCGCATACCCGCCCGACACATACAGAGTGCAGAGCCACCAGAGCAGGACACCCCGCTGCACTTTTGGCCAGGCTCTATGA